GAAATCAAGTCATTTATTCAAGATTCCTCAGCAAGTAAGGGACAGAGGCCGAATTCAAGCCCAGGGCTTCTAATCCATCGGTCTTCGATGACACCCGTTTGCTTCTCCTGCCCATCTGCAGTTTTTCTGCATATGACCCTCACCAGTTCTGCGTGTCTCCGTCGGGACCTGTTGTTCTACGGAGCAGAATCTAAGATTGAGTACTACATTTGCAGGAAAGATGACCTCCGTGTTTCTGACCCACCTCTCTGCAAGGTCGGGAAGCTTAGTATGAACAGAGCGGGCCACCATAACCAAGTGGATACCCCCAAATATCAGACATTTTCTAAGGTGTGTATAGATAAATATTTGCAGAAACCTTTTTCAGTTTTTTTTTTCCCTCCCAGAAAATCTTTTATGAGCCCTTTAAAACCTATTTCCTCTCGTCCTTTTTTTTTTTTTTTTTTGGCAAGCCAGTGAAGCATGGCTCACGCCAAGGTTATACAAACTTCTCCACTAAATGAGTGGAAATGGTTGACTCAGTTCTGTGATTTGCTTTTGTGTGATCTGTTTCTGGTAAGCAGAGATTTAAAAAAAAAAAAAAAAATTCTAGTCTGTTGTGTGCGTATTTATATAACAGTCTCCTGTTGTTTTATGAAAAGTATAAAAGGCCAGAGAAGAGACTGGTAGGCTATGTAGAATAAAACCTGTGCAACGTCAACTGCTCCTCAGCAGCTGCGGGACAGAGTTGGACCTAGAAAGATTTCAGACAGTCTCTCTGGTGCCTCTGGATGCTGCTATAATTCAGGATGGGGGAATGAGATATTCCGCAGAAGAAAAATTGTAAATCTTTGCAATATATATTCAGCATCAAAATTGTTTATTTATTTTAGCATCGATTTTTTTTTTAATTCACCTTCTTTGAATTTAAGAAAAATATCTCTGTTTTGGGCAGAATATTCTGACCATATTCATTCTGGTATGTGTATGTGTGTTTTAACAAGTTTGGAAACTAGTCAAAGACACTAAGAAAATGAGAGTCATCCTTCCTTCAATAACAATAGGAACATTTTATGTTTTGCTCAGTAAACTTCTGTATAAGTGTGCGTGGTTTTTGTTTGCTTGCTTCTGGAGGGAATGGCCTCAAGCTACTCAAGTTTCTTGGGTCCTTTTGTCTTTTGAAATATTGTTTCTGGCATCTCTCTTGCTATGAGTTGTCAGTGGTTGTTTTTGGATGCTCCCAGGGCCTTGACTCTTAACAGTGGGACTCTCTTGCACCTTCTTGACTCCTCTCCTGCCCCTGCATCTTGATCTTAATGTGCTATTTCTACTTCACTATGAGCTGATTAACAAGTAACCAAGTTTATAAACATTAAGTTAATTAATAGAGGGATTGTGAACAAATTTTAATAAAATGCTTTGTAGTATTTATTGTTAAGCAGTAACAAAATTGACTCTAATGAGGTACTTGAAAATCAATCACATTTATACACTCACTTTTTTTGTAATCCTCACCCAAGGATATTTTCTCAAATATCTTCAGATAGAGTGGGAGGTGGTGGAGGGGGACGGGGGGAGAGAAACATTGATGTGAGAGGGACACATCGACCGGTTGCCTCCCGCACGACCCCAACCAGGGCTGGAGACCAACTACAACCAAGGTACATGCCCTTGGCTGGAATCGAACCTGTGACTCTTTGGTCCACGGGCCAATGCTCTAACCTCTGAGCCAAACCAGCCAGGGCCAGTGCTGAACTCTTATTTATTTCTTTGTTCCTAGCAATTGTTTGGATAATCAAGATCACGTTCTCTCACTTTTCATCTTCTCTATACTTGTAAAAATTAAACTTTTTGTACCAGTTTTTTTCTTTTCAAATCAAAGACTACCTTTGGTATACATTAATTTACTTAGAATAGTTTATACTTAAATTTTTATTAATAATTTGTATGGAATGGCATACTATGTTTTAAAATTATATTATACCATGTAATCTTATTTATTTGAATAATATGGAGAAAAATCCAGTCTGAATTAGCAAAATGAAAAATATAGAGTCAGTTGAAGGCTCAGTAGGTATTTTACTCCTGTTGGATCTCTGAGATAAGCAGTGCTAAAACCTTGATGTTTATACTGCCACCTTTTTTTTCCTTATCAGTATTATTACATTAAGTAATATGTGGTAGTCAAGAGAGCATGGCCAGGGTTTGGAACTTGTGTAAATGAATGAGATAAGAATGATTGCCCAGCCAGCATAGCTCAGTGAATTGAGCATCATCCCATGGACTGAGAGGTCCTAGTTCAATTCCTGGTCAGGGCACATGCAGGAGGAAGCCATGTGATGTTCTCTCTCACATCGATGTTTCTATCTCTCTCTTCCTTCCTCTTTCTCTCTCTAAAAAAAATCAATAAAGAAAACATATTTAAAAAATTTTTAACAAGATAAAAATGATTTATAATTACTCTCTAGATAGATAAATAGATACATGGATATATAATTTATATGTAGATATACAAATCTGTATATAGATGCAGAGTCTATTATATATATAGAATTTACATTCTCGACTCATAAAATGCTCCACTGAATTCTATTTCTTTAGATGATTGAAGTACTCCCCTTTTTTCATAGCTAGTAATCATAATTCACCCTATAGCTATATCATCCCAAATTATTAAAATATAAAGTTTTATGTTACTGACAGTCTTTGCCCCCTTCCCCTCCCCATCCACCTTTTCTACTCTTCATTAATCAAACCCTTGTTTATGAGTCAGACTTACTGTGCTGTGGGGCTGGGGAAGTGTGGAACACATTGTTCTCTGTCAAGCCCATGGTATCAGGGTCATATTTCTAAATATTTCAACGCGCCCCATCCACATATTTCTTCCGCATCAGTTCTCAAAAGAAAGGACTAGAAAACCTTCTAGAGCATATTGTATTTTTTATTTCCAGTTGAAGAAATATAATTAGGAACCCAGTCAAAGGATCTTGCAGCTTTGCCCAGAAAACAAAATTGAAATGCCAGCGATGGCCCTTTAGTAGTGACATAGATTGCTTTCCAATTCAAATCCTCCCCCATGCGCTCCCTCCCAGGGTGTCTCCTGTCCACAGGATTGAAGTTGGTGGTAGTGTGGACCCCTTCTAGCCTTAAAAGTCGGTGATCCCCTAATTCCTCATCCCTGCGCTCCAACCTCAGAGTAGTTCGCGAGACACATTAAAGACATACTCCCCAAGAAAACAACCTGGCTGGTGAGTTTTCACTAGATGTTCTCAGGGCAATGCCAGAGTTCTTCTGCTGTGCTTTCTCTGAAGGCCACTCAGCACATCTTTTTAGGTTAATTCCAATTAAGATGATATGCTTGGAAAATACATATTTTCTGGCTCAGAACAGTTACTATTCTCTTTCAGCAGAGCAAAGACGTACATTATTCGTTAAGCAGGCACCCTAACCTAAGTGGTTTGTTCAAGCATCCTCTGACTTCTCCAGAGGGCAGCCAGTCCAGATCCTCCCATCTTGGTTTCTATATTACCTCCTTATTTATTTATTGAGAGAAACATCTGTTTGTTGTTTCACTTATTTATGTATTCATTGCTTGATTCTTGTATGTGCCCTCACCAGAGATCGAACCCACAACCTTGATATATTGGGACGATGCTTTAACTAACTAAGCTACCCAGCCAGAGCCTCTACACCCCCTGTGTACATACTTCCACAAGAGGAATGCAAAAAGAACATGGGATTTCATGCCATGATTTCTTACAGCTATAATACAAATATAGAAGCTGTGCCTTATTAAAGATTCTTGTTCAGAATGTTGCAAATTACTTTACAAACATGTCTGGTTCGTCCTCCTTTCGGTCATCTCTGGCCTTACACAGAAGCCCAGCAAAGTGAAGTGGTTGGTGCCTGTGAAATGAGTGGTGGGCAGATGGCAACCTCGACATGTTGGTGTAAAACAAAGCCTGTCTTTCTAGACAATAGAAACAGCCGATTGGAAAGTTTGAAACTTCCTGGGCCTGTTGGGGGAAATGAAACAATTCATTGCTAATAGAATTTTCCTGAGCATTATTTTGCTGCTTCATTGCACTACATTGACAGTGTTCTTGCTGCCAGACCCGTGCCAGCGCCCTGCTGAACTGGGAAATCGAGTACCATTCTGATGGGCTGTGGACATTATGAAACTTTAACATTGTTCTCTTCAGTATTGGAAAGTATAAACTGTCCTTTTACACCCGGTGAATTAGATCCTGCCAGTTCTCCCTCAGAATTAGGAAATCAGTGGTCAGTTATCCATTTTGTATCTCAGATTAGTTGGTCATGATGTTGCCTTATTTAAACACCTGTGTTTCTCTCCTCAGAAACTACCCATAGTCTTACTGTGATCGGCACGTGTGACCGCACCAGATGTCCCGCATCGTGTCTCTGTCACACCCTGGGCAGTGTTCTTTGCCATGCACAGAACCCACACCGATCTCTTGGGTTCTGGATTTCAAACCACTCTTGACCTTTGGGGTCTAAGTTTATTTATTCTTGGCAAAAGAAAAATGTGTTGTTAAAGAGGATAGGATTAGAGAGGCTTATAATAAAGACTTGTTACCTTCTTAGACTTCAGATATGTCTTACAGAAAACAATACTTATGGGTTAAGTGTGAATGAATCAGAAACCTACAGATCACATTTTCCTTAAAATGCAGACGGATTGAAAAATTAGCAGAAAAGAGGTCTGACAAAAGATGTGCTTTGAATTTCACCGAACCCAGAGTATTTGAAATGCATTTTAAGAAGCTTGACAAACCCAAACCGTGACTAGATTTCCCCTTTACTGATCTCTTTTATTCCCTCAATATCTCAATTAAGAAGTCAGCGGTTAAATATGGGAGACAAAAGTGTTACGGTTTTTTAAAAAGGGCTTTTTGTCGTGCTGTTATATAGCCAGAATGGGAAGTTAGAACTTGCCTTTGAAGAGTGTCTCTGCTCCTGTGATTTTACATCCCTGTTTCCTTTGATAATTGTTTTCTCAGGTTTGCACCTTCTGCTCCATCTCCTCACCACATCAGTCCCCGGAGAGTGCCAGCTCCTTCAATAATGCAGAGAACACAGCCTCCCCATCCCCAGCAGCCCTCGGGATCTCACCTGAAGTCTTATCAGCCAGAAACAAACTCTTCTTTTCAACCAAATGGAATCCATGTCCATGGTAAGCAAGGAGCAGTCGGTCTGTTGAGTTTTGAACAGTGATGTTGTGCTATTGCTTTTACTCAAGTGTCTTAGCTACCAGTGGTAGGTTTCAAATATTCTGTTATGCACCAGGCTTTGGCTTATGACTTCCCTCTAAAATTTTACATGTAATCAGCCTGAAATCTTATAGTATTTTCCTGGCTTTGGCCCTAAGAGGGTATGATTTACAGCACCCCAAAGTAGTCAGCTCAAGGTGATGAACCATTTATTGACCCAGCGCTTTGACATGTCATGGATAGGCCATAACAACATCTTGTTTTCTAAACAATAAACAGTTGTGCACAAGGGAGCAACAGGAGTCCTTTTGCCCATGCACAGATCCCATATTCCCATATGCCTAGATCCTCTCAATCCTGTAGGGCCCAGATGAAATGACACCTCCTCTCTGAAGCCTTCCCTGATCTTCCAGCTGGACTTAATCTCTCCTGGTTCTAAACCCTGATTACATCTCCTGTATCTCTGATAGTACTTACGCTTGCTCTCTCTCCCTTGTGATTTACTTCTCTGTGAGTAAAAGTTGTCCTCACTATTAATGTGGAAACTTCTTTCTGAAGTCAGGATTTTCTGGCCCATTGTCTTTCCTCTTAGAGAACTTAGCACAGTTCTTCACATGTTTTAAACACACATAGATACTGGATAGGTTCATGAAGGAAGAAGAGGAGGGAAGGAGAAATCATGATGGTTTTCAAAGTGTGCAGGTTTTATATTTAAGTCAGAACATACATGGATAACTAACTTTGGCTTAATTTCTTTTCTTTATTTAAACCCATTTTGCTGCCTCAGACAGATATCTTAAGTGAACATCTATAGAAAGTTGAATTGCCAAATATGTAGACTCAAAGTATACAAAGCTTTTTATTTCTTCGGGTCATTCAGATCTTCTCATGTACACAGAAGAGATACTGTCCATTTAGACTGAATGTTTTAACTTCTCCTAAAAATTCTGATTCTCCTCCATCTGCCTCTTGCCGATTCCTGAATTTGCGTCATATGAGTTATTACTTGAAATTAATGGGTGGTGTCCCTAAGAAAACCTAAATCAATGTTTAAATTGAGTGCAATTAAGTGTGAGTGATTTCCCAAGATGGCAGAATCCGGCAGCACTACAGAGCACCAGTGTAAGGGCCTGGACAGCTGAGGAGCAGGCAATGTGGAGGCAGAGGCAGGCTATAGGAAGGGAATGACCTTGAAAAGCCCAGGGTCACTGTCTCTGGCTCAACATTGCATCCATATCTTCTCCCCTCTCCCCAAGTACAGTCACACACATCCACTATTCACCAACAAAGCTTGGGCTCCCACCATTCTTTGGGCCTCTGGTAATTTTTACCTTCATCTGTTGGTAAATTTCTTGAGAGCCTACTATGTGCAAAGCAATATGTCTATAAGAAAGACAAATAGAGCACTCTCCCTTCTGAGAGGGGCCCCAGATGAGGAGCTTGTCTAATATGGGAGCTCCAGGGCCTCCGAGCTGTGAAGCCAACCTCACCTGCAGGCAGGAGGTGGACAGTGTGAGTGTGGGCTTTGTGGAATACAGGATAGGTCCTTTTCCCTTCACTTTAACATCACTGAAATCTGAACGGATCTCGGTCAGTGGTGTACTATAATAGGCAATGATTTTTCTTTCTTATGCTGTGCAGACTAACAGAGCCTTTCACAGCCAATGGTGTCATGGTTCCAGCGAAATGCAATGTAACACACTCTGATTACAATTGTGAAACACTTGTTAGAACTTCAAAATGTAACCTATGTGTAGAAAGAAAATAGAAGGAAGTTTTCCAAAATAGTAACAGTTCTTTCATCACAATGGTAGGATAATAGGTGATTTTTTTTTTTCTTCTTCTTCTTCTTTTTTTTTTTTCTTTCTAAAGAAATTTTAAAAGGGATTTGGGTATTAGACCAATTTGAATGCAAATACCAGTCTACTCAACTGTGTGACTCTGGACAAATTATTGAGCCTCAGTTCACATTCATTAGATGAAGAGAGTCTTATCTATCTTCTCTTATCATTTGTTATGAGGATTCAACAAGAAAAGCACCTGGTACAGGGTAGGAGTTTAATTAATTTAATTTAATGTTCTTCCTTTTAATCTCTTCTTTTCTTTACTAGACTCTTTGAAGATAGGGATAATGTTTGTAGCCCTGGGGCAAGCATAGGACTTGGTGCAAAGTAGGCATTTAGTAAATATTTCCTGAATAAGTGATGGACTCAAGGGAAGAGCAAAACAAGGGACACCGAGAATGGGACCCACCTTATTATTTTGCCCTGCAGCCTGGCAAAAGGCTCTTCTCCTACGTTTTCTCTTTTTTAGTTGTCAACTTGAAATGTTTTTAACTTGAATTTTTTCATTGTTAAAAATTCCCATGGCCAATGAGAAACTGCTCACAGAAGCCCTAAAAATAAATACATATGACAAGCCTTTCCAGAAGAGATCAGAATATAGTTATGCAAATTGGGAAATCATGACTTCCTCCCAGAAAATGGGTAAGTTTGCCAAGGGAATTTGCCCGCATTAGCTACTGGGCCACTGCTGGGAATTAAGGGGTAGGGATCCTGATGCAGCCTTACGTCCCCCTTCAAGTATTTTTCTAAAAATGTTTTTTTGGAACTTTCTGGGCACAAGCATTTCTCAACAACTCCTTGGGATAAAGACCAAGTTGATTAAATATTTTTCAAGTGGATGAATCAGAGCTAGGAATGAGAGGAGCAGAGAGACTCCTAAATGAGCTACATTTATTGGCCATGCCTTTCAGCTATGGTTACATTAGTGCGCTACATAGCATTATATAGCATCTTAGTAACAAGGAACTTCATCCCCTAATAAAACAAGTTTTTAAAGCTCCAAGCAGTGTCAGGGTTGCTAACATGATAGCGATGGTGAGTGTTTATTCTCTGTTTTAAGAAGTTCATGGCTTTAATGAGCATCATCACCCCCATCCTATCTGTACTCGCTGCAGTAGGCAGAGGTCAGAGAAAAATGTCATCACTGTATTTTTAGAGATGGGAACTGATACATAGACGAAGATAAAATGTCTAGGCATTCTGCCTCGGCAAAACACAACAGGCATCTTTAACAAGAGGTCCACATTTCCAAGCCACATTCTTAATCTACATGCTTCTAAATCAAAGAAACAAAACGCATAGGTACTTATATCTTTCCATGGGGAAATATACCTGTTTGTAGATGCTGTTGCATTACATAGGCCCATGAAAGGTTAGAACTCAAATGGGCTTTGTTCTCACAGATAAAGAGGAAAATGAGGTCCACTGAGTTTTCTTCACGCCAGACTATTTGATACAGAGCTTAAATGTTGTGTGTTCAGTGTGTATTTTTACTGAGAGATGTTTTGTAAAAAGCATACTTTGAAAAGATTAACAGCACCACTTTTTCAAGTTTCCTCACCTAGTGAATGACCCAGGACCAGAGCAGTTTTGTTGGCTGTGCATCCACTTTATCCATTCATATTGCTTTTGTTAGCAAGGTGGGTACGGTGTCATTTCTTTTCATGTGTGAACGTTGATAGCATCCATGGGTCTCTGTTTGGGTGGTATCTCCAAGGCAACTTCTTGGTACATTTTAGTCTTTTATTTTAGATATAAACATAAGAGCAACTCTTTCCAATCACGTAAGCTTGTTCTTCGGCCTTTTATTTCTTTTTAGGGCTCTCTCTTCAGAATTTTGCCTGGATTAGTTGCCTGAGAGTTGATATTTGTACATTTTGTCGTGGTGCTAATGGATAATTTCCTGGTAAATGCCCCATTCACGCCAGGCTGTGAGAATGCCATGGGAATTTCTAGAACAGCATTTTCACAACCTTCCTGCTTCTGCGCTCGTCAAGGAGAGGCCAAGTTCAATTCAGCAAGTGTGTATGGGTCACCCACTGTGTGCTAGGCAAACATGAATGTCATTTAACCAATGCATTGTGGTATGTGCAATAACAGAAGGTGTCCTATGCACCGGTTTATTCAGAGGAAGGTACCATAGAAGGGTTTCTAGAGGTGACTCTTGAATAGGGTCAAGATAAATAGTTCAACCCTAGCCGGTTTGGCTTAGTGGTTGGAGCATTGGCCCACAGACCAAAGAGTCGTGGGTTCGATTCTGGTCAAGGGCATGTACCTTGGTTTCGGTTCATCCCCAGCCCTGGTCGGGGTCGTGTGGGAGGCAACCAGTCAATGTGTCTCTTTCACATTGATATCTCTCTTTCCCTCCCTTCCACTCTCTCTGAAGATCAATGGAAAAATATCCTCGGGTAAGGATTAAAAAAAAAAAAAAAGATAGTTTATTGGGTAGGCCAAGTGGGAAGAGGCTTTCTAGGCAGGGGGAAGCAAAGTGCCCAGGCAAGAACACATGTGGGTGCCTAGAGAGAAGAGAGAGCCAGGGCAGTCTGTGTGTGGCAGGGAGGACACGTGACGCTGTGGAGCAGAGGGGGCGGAGGCCAGGGAGCCAGCAAGGCCAGCTCATAGCGGGATTTGGGACCATGCTAAGTGTAATGCTTCTGAGTGAAGAAGCCAGCCTGGTATTTTAGGAAAGTCAGTGAGGGCATTGTGTAGGGGACAATAGAATGGGAGAGGTAGGAACATTACATCCTAACTGTTGGGATTTTATTGGACTGCATGTATGCAACACCCAAACAACAGTTCAGCTCACTTAGATGCAGCTGGTAAGTAGGGGAACGATGTCTTAATAACGTGGAATTGTGTTTGTTCACACAGCCTTTCGTAGGCAAGACAGACTGGAATAGTGAGAGAAGGGGAAAATGCAAAAGGCCTCAGCCTAGCTGCCGCACTGGTGGGAGCCCTTTCGGTCCTCTTTCAATACAATTTGAAGAGCCTGATCCCATGGGGTTCCTCCTCAGAGGGCTGCACACCTGGCCCTGCACAGCCCTCAGCCAGTGGCAGGTCACAATCCTCCCTGTGTGCTGGTGTCTCACCTGTTGTCTCAGTCACCACAAGCCAGCGTT